TCTCCATTCACCAGCCCGCCCTAACGTACGACCAATTTCTAACGCAACTCGAGTCGGCCCCGGCCGTCCAAGACATAACCCAGCACTCTCTCAGTAGGGTAGTGCCAGCCTCTTTGGGCCACAGAGTTAGGTTCCCTCTCCTTTGGTCTCCTTCTGGACCCATGATTCTTTCTCTCTTGGCTGCCCACATTTGCAACTGCAAGAGGAAGATGTAGATATTCACAACAGTCAATGGCTTGATGTCTAGCTGGCAGCTGGTATCAAGTGGAGTGCCCCAGGGGCTGGGTTTGTTCAATATTTTTATCAATGACCTGGAAGATGGGATGGAGTGCACTCTCAGCAAATTTGCAGATGACACCAAACTGGAGGGTAAGGCTAGAATTCAGAGAGACCTCAACAAATTGGAGGATTGGACCAAAAGAAATCTCATGAGATTCAGTAAGAACAAGTGCAAAGTCCTGCACTTAGGACAGAAGAATCCCATGTACACAAGCTGGGGACTGACTGGCTAACCAGCGGCTCTTCAAAAGAGGACCTAAAGGTTACAGTGAATAAGCAGCTGAATATGAGTCAACAGTGTGCCCTTGTTGTGAAGAAGGCTTATGGCATACTGGACTGCATTCATGGGTGACTGGTGCTATCTGAGTTGGGGGGGGCACATGCCCCCCCAGTGGCCAGTCAGTGCTTGCCATGGCCAATCACACCAACCAGGAAGCACAAGCAGCACTCCCAGAAGTGACCACAGTGCTTCATCTAGCACCCCCACTCCCCAGCCGGCACTAGCAGGGGGAACACCAACGCTCCCTCCTGGCCCCCCTGCCTGTCACCTAAGCCAGGAGTGCTAGGTGTGAGGGGGTGCACCAGCGCTCTCAGGGGGTGCACTCCCTATGTGTCACCACTGGCTGCATTAGTAGGAGTGCTGCCAGCAGATTGAAGGAAGTGATGATTCCCCTCTTCAGCACTGGTGAGGCCACATCCAGTTTTAGGCACCACACTGCAGAAAAGATATGGACACGTTGGACAAAGCCCAGCTGAGGGCACCAAAAATGGTAGGGGGCTGGGTCACATGATTTCTGAGAAGAGGCTGAGAGAACTTGGCTTATTTAGTCTGAGAAGACTGAGCGGGGAGTTAATAGCAACTTTCAACTACCTGAAGGGGGGTTCCAAAAAGGATGGAGCTAGACTGTTCTCAGTGGTGGCAGATAACAGAACAAGGAGCAATGGCCTCAAGTTGCAGCAAGGGAAGTTTAGGTTGGATATTAGGAAAAACTTTATCACTAGGAGGGTGGTGAAATCCTTAAACTGGTTACCTAGAGAAGTGGTGGAATCTCCATCGTTGGAGGTTTTAAGGCCTGACTCGACAAAACCCTGGGTGGAATGATCTAGATGGGGATGATCCTATTTTGAGCAAGGGGTTGGACTAGATGACCTCTTTAGATCCCTTCCAACCCTAATTTTCTATAATTCTAACTTCATTTTTGGGTAAACCAGAGATTTAAACTCATTCAGATCTGTGCAAAGGACAAACAATTAACCACACAGTTTGGTTCACCTAAACTAAACCAAAGGAGTCTCCCTTGTTCAGAGTACCATCCTGTGAGTTCAGATTTGGGATCACAGAGATGCTTCACAAAAACAGTGTCCAATATTCCAGAATTGGGAAAAGAGCAGGAAAAGGAAACCAGCTGGTACATTGGAGAGAGAAAAACAGGTTCAGGATTGGTGTAAATAATTTTCACGTGGTGACTGTGTGTGTAGAAGGCAGCTAGTGTGCAGTAAGCTAGAACATAAATTTACTGTGCACTACTTCTTCTTCCCCTTGTATGGACATGCATATCATGCATTAGCAGTGGCTTTCTGAAAAATACTCTAGTCCACTTTGAAAGTGGAGTTAGCTATCTCTCACTTGGACCATGTGTGCACCACCTCAGTATGGCACCAGAGATCAATGACCTGGGGGAAACCTCACCCACCCCAGATATGCTACCACCCCAGAAGAAAGCAGTGTATCTTAGTGAAGTGCTGGGTGCACTCTAGTATGCCCTAAGTGAGCCACCTCCCAACATGGCTTCATTAGTTCTATTTCAGGAGTTGGCATGTATGGAACAAGCACACTGGGCTTTAGTACAGCACTGTCTGGTGCCCAGTGGAGGCAGGAGACATTTCATCATAGGTAAGTAGGACTTGAAGGGACCTCATGAGGTCATCTAGTTGAACTCTCAGCTCAAGGAAGGATCATCTCTGACTAAATCATCCCAGCCAAGTGTCTGTCCAATCTGCTCTTGAAAAATGTCCAGGGATGGAGATTCTACAACTTCTCTAGCTGGCATGTTCCAAGGCTTGACCACCCTTATAGTCAGAAAGTTTCTCCTAATATTCAACCTAAATTTCCTCTGCTGTAGCTTGAGTCCCTTGCTTTTAACCCTTGGTGTACACTAAAACTGTCAAGACAGGGAGCTGGTGTGCACCAAACTGGAGCTAATTAGTAGGGCTGTGTGAAATTTCGCCGGATGTTTCATTTCAAAGCTGTTTTAACATGTTTCGATTTCAAAACAGTGAAATCAAAACAGAGCAAAAGGCTTTGAAACAGCTTTGAAACAAAACAAGGGTACTCCAAATGTTTCAAAAGTTTCGAAACATTTCGAGTTTCGAAGCCAGCCTTGCTTGGAGCTAAACAAAAACTGAGGAGAGAGGCGGGAGGAGGGGGGAAGGACTGCTCTGATATTGACATCTAGCTCCCTGTTCAATTCCTCAGCTCTCTGATCATTTCCCCAGCTTTTCCTGAGGGGTGCTGGCCCCCAATCTGCATGGGGGGCTGCCACTGCTGGCTGGGACCGGCACTTGGCGCAGCCTTTGCCAAGCACCAGGAAGAACCCAGTGCTGGCACTGGCCCCAGCCATGGCATCCCACGTGCAGATCCAGGGGCCCACACACCCCAGGAAGAGTCCAACACAGCCCCCAGCCCTCCCAGAGGGTGCGGGGCCCCAGATCTGTGCATGGGATGACAGCAGGCTGCAGCCGCCAGCTGAGGCCAGCAGCAGCACCAGTCTTCCCAGTACTTGGCGTGGGCTGCACCGAGTGCCGGTCCTAGCCAGCAGTGGCAGCCTGCTGTCACCCTGCATGCAGATCTAGGGGCCTGCACCACCCAGGAAGAGTCCAGGACAGCCCAGCAGCCCTCCTACGGGGCATAAGCCCCCAGATCTGTACGCAGGATGACAGCAGGCTGCCTCTGCCAGCAAGCGATAAGAGTTTTGCTTTGAACAGTTTGAGGTGCAGTTCCCAGTAATCCCTGCACCTATCTCATTGAAACTTGGCAGGCTTCATGCCCTCAAAAGGGGCTACCATCTGTGCAATTGTTATCTGAATCAGGCAAGAAATGACAAAGTTATAGGCATTTTCATGACTCCCCATTATAGCCTATGGGTGAAACATAGAAACAGGGAAACAGTTTCGACAAAACAAAATGAAATATTGCTTCAAAATAGCAAAACGAAACACTGTCCCTTTGAAATGGTAAAACAAAAGTCAAAATGAAATGGTGCTGTTTGACACAGCCCTATTAATTAGCTGTCCTTTATACAATATTTTGAAAGCACGCAACATAATGCTAAGTATTACCAAATCTGAATATATATAAATACCTTTAGCTAAACTGAATGGACATTGATTAGGTCTTGATACTGTGACCATATCCAGAGTGATACGGAATTGTGCCATGAGTTGGATTATCCCCATCTGCTTTAGGACTTGTTGAATTGGTTTAAATGGGGTGGCAAATATTTTCCCTCAGTTTAGATTTTATTGACCATTAATAGGAGCTTCTTATGAACAGTGGCACATTTTCTGCTCCTCTGAATTTTGTGGGAAGAGCAGCAGGGTGCTCAAGTACATGTAAGAATCAATTCTAAAGGTCTTGCATTTCTTACAAGAAAACTACCTTTGTTACACTTGACTGCACCTAAAAAGCCCAGACCCAGATGCTCTTCTTCATTCAGCTGCTGATCAGATCATTAGCAAGTGACACATTCAGCACCTGGTCCCAGGTCATATTCTTGCTCGTACCTCTGATATAAACTTGGCCCACCCCTCTCTTTGATTGTCACCTCAGTTCTGGAGCTCTGACTCTCACTTTGAGGGGTGATGAGTTGTAGTAGTGGTGTCTTTTCTCACTTTGGTGTATAGGACCTCCACAAACATAAATCTTTTCCCCAAAAATTAGCGCCTCCCCCCAAAGTTGGGGTGCACGTCTTAAGCAGAGAAACTGATTTTTCTTCACTGGAACAGAAACTGGGGAAATAGGCAGCCATTAGAGCACGTTGTCGGCTGGCTTCATGATGGGCACCGCTTGGTGACCCTGCAAGCACAAAAGGCAAAGTCTGGTCTAACTCTCTTGTAGCCACTATTGCCTGAGCACTATAGCTTGTACCTAGAAAGCAACAAGTGTGAGCTGCTGCATGCAGTCTGTAATGTCTTGATGAGGGCTGTGGCATGGGAATAACAATTTAAAGAACATGTATAAATAACTAGCTACAGAAAAGAAGTAACAGTCTTGCTACTGTCCTTGCAAGGGTTTGGGACCTAACTTTGTTTGAAACAGTATAAATCCTCCTGAAAACACAGACTGTTCAGGACGTATGACATCACTAGAGACAGTGTGGCTGAGGCAGCAGGATGCCACATTTCCTACACACTGTTTCCAGGAGGACTTACTCCATGTCACATTGCAAAAGTATGTGTCTTATTTGGGTGTATTAGGTATACAAAAAATATAGTATGTCAAGTTCTTCATCACAGCCGGTATCCAGGGAATGTTACAAACACATAGATATGTATTTAACAGTTTTATACAAGCAGAATGATTTTTCAGGCCTTCAGTGGGAATAGAAAAGAAAATGAATTGAAGCGCATTTACGTTTTGACATCCTTGTTTAAGTGAAGTGGCTCCCTGTGCTTTCAGAGCCCTGTGGTCTTCAAATTCTAATTATTTTCTGTCTTTGCAGGTGCTGACATTGTACAGTGGCTCATGAAGAACCTCATCATTGAGGATCCAGGTAACTTGACCACTAAGGCTGAATGTGAATTTTCTAGCGGTGCTGTGCATGGAATTAGATAAACCTTATTGTTTTAGTGCTGAGCCTAAACGGTCAATAAAAAAAATGAGGTTTTAATCAGTTGGAGAAAAACAGAAGGAAAAGAGATATGAATCTGCACTTACAACCCCTCAGGTGTTTAGAGAACTGTAGCACTTTGTACTACCACTTGCAGACTTTCGAACCATTTCAAACCAGTTTATGGAAGATTCATATGACAGGACAGGGGTGTTCTTCGATCAAAAATCAGCACACATTCTGTGTAAATTCAGGCATTTGCTATCCCCATGTTAGGGTTAAAAGGTAACTCAACCTCCATGCAGGAGATTTTAGGTTTATTCTAGATGGCTCGAGGTCCCAGAAAGAAACTTCAGAAATTCCCCTTCAAGAATTACTGTATTGGCTCCTAGGATTTTCTTTGCCTTCTTTTGAAGCATAGGAGTTGGCCACAGCTAGATGTGGGAATTTTGATTCAGATGTACCTAATACTTAGGAACTTCACAGATAGGCACAGGCAGGCTAGAGGGTCCTTCCTTTCCACTCAGAGCCAAGCCAATTATCAGATTTGGGATGATTAAGGAATTTTGCCCACGCGGAAGATTGGCAGTTTTGCTTTCCTCCATAATGTGAAGCCCAGTTCTCTGCCTAAGATCATCTAAACTTCTCTGCCATTCAAGTGGCAGGGCATTACCAGCACTCTTGCAACCTGTTTATTACCTGTGGTTAGTTATGGGAATATTTTTGTTTTTAGCTGTGCTACATGTGAGGAGCTGGAGTAGACAATTTTCGGGCTTCTTTGCAGTAGTGCCTGTGAATGCAGGGGACTGGTTCCCTTCCAGTCGTATGTTCCTATGTTTCATCTGTAAAACAATTCACTTTGTGAGAAGGCGTGTTTCATTTTAGTACTGCTGCAGGGCTTATAAACCAAGGTGAGAGGTATCTAAGGATAAATAAGGTATTCTTATATTGTGGAAACCAGAAAGTTATGGGGGGGCCTGTTTGCCTTCTGGGAAACATACCTTAAGTTGGTATAAATTTTTATGACTCTTTTACAGTGAATGGCAAATCAGCTGGTGAGGTACAATTTTCATGAGAGGGAAAGGATGCAAGGCTGCAACTGGGGCTGCTAAAAAATCTGCAATACCCTCCCCACCCTTGCTTTTGTATGTGTCTGTCCAAATAAGCCCTTTGCCTCATTTGTATTTGTCTCTATAGTAGTAAAGATACTGGTAAATGCATATTAATCCAGCTGTGTGCATCATTTGGAGAAACAATAGGATTCAGTGATGACTGTCACTGGTACGAATAATGGCTTTAAACTGAATTCCACAATATAGTGCTGAGCTAGCATGCGACATCCCATAAGTATCAATGGGGGTGTTTAAAACATGAGGTTAACATTATTGTACCTTAGTTATAAAATTGGCTTCCACTTGGCTACTTTGTCTTTGGTTGGAGAGCTGAGAGCTGTGTTTTGGATATGAAGTGGCATGGTACAGCAGGTCTGACTGTCAGTCACTATCAGACCTGGTGCTGAGAGCTGTGGATTCCCTAGTGCTCATCTATATATGACAGATTTCTACTGCTTTCTTTCTCTCCCCACTCTTTCACAGTGGAAGCAATACACTTGGGAAGTCTTATAGCAGCACAGGGCTATATCTTTCCAATCTCAGACCATGTCCTTACCCTGAAAGATGATGGGACTTTCTATCGTTTTCAGGTAAGTGAGACCTGATTTCTACATGGTTCCTTTTATAAGCATTGAAATGTCAGTGCTGCTGAAGTTCACAGAACATGTACAGTATATTCCTATGTTTATTGAAATTCTGACACGCTAGTGAAGTCCCTTTAATAAAGTCTGTTGTCCCATCCTAAACTATCTTTTTCTGCTTCCCAGTTCTCATTTTTTACACAATTAAACAAACTTCTCTGTGATTATTTTAAACACACTGCTTCAAGCATGTTCTATTAAGAGACAAGCTTGACTCAAAAATCCAGATGAAACAACTCAAATTATGAGGGAAATGGACTTCCAACTTTAACCCTGGTTTGCATTCTGCAGCTGCCTTTCTAGGCACAATGAACTGCATCAAATCCCTATGTTGAACTCTTCCAAACTTTAGGGCATTAGAAATCTAGTTTTAGATTTGGCAGCTGAAGCCTATGCTCAGTTATTTTATTTTATTTAATTCTTTCCTTGTTACAACACCAGTTTAATGATGAGGAGATCAGAGTTCAGTGACCTTGGCAAAGTCACTTACACTCTCAATGCTTTAGTTTTCCCACAGTGACTGTGTTCCCAGCTGTGTTGGGTTCTTAAATATAGCTTCTGTTTGCATTACACTTCCTTGCTGAAATCTATAGATACAGTCTTTGCCAGTCAACTCCTGGACACTTAGAAGTTCTTGTTATATAAGTTTGTCTATTGCTGAACATTAACAGCAAAGCACACACCTAGAGCTTATGGTATAAACATTCACTTGAATTTGTTTTCTTCTTCATGTAGTCTGTGCTAATAGCAACTCTCTTGCCTTTCCTATTCCCTCACTTCTATTCCTTCCTTCTTTCTGTATTGCCCTTTTTCAGGTTTTTTTTTAATTAAAAAGCCCTTCACCTCTAACTCTGATGGTGCTGTCACTAGTTCCCATTGTGCTGATGCTGCACATTGCTTTTCCTTAAGACTTGGCAGAGCAGAGGTTATACTGATTACTAGCTGGTTATTAAACCATGCTTTTGTCCCTTATTTAAACATCCACCAAGAAAGCTGGCTTCAATGTCAGTGTCCTGTTTTAACTCACCTTTTTTATTTTTATCTGACATACATAGTACCACCAAATCCTGTTGGTTTCTCCTTTTAATTTCTCTTGCACTTATATCTGCTCTTACAACCCCTATTCACAACTTTTGCATCCTTGCCTCCCAGCAACATAGTTTTCCCTGGTCATTCCATACAACAATATTCTGGTAGAATCCCTAGTCTGTTCCTCTGAACATACCACTTCACCCCCTGAATTTCTTCCCAGCAGCATCTTACCCTCCCAGTGAAATGCAGTGGGATTGCATGGGTTTTATGTCAGGGCAGAATTTGCATCACATGCATTTGACCCTCCTCCACATGCTCATTAACAATTCCCCTTGCTGCTTTTTGGCACAAGTATCTGTTATATATACATATAATGTATTGTGCCCACTTGTGACACTGTAGCAGTCAGAATAGTGCACTATGACACATGTAACTCTAGTAATGTTGTTCTTCATTCCATTAAAACTGTCATATAGATACCACATAGTTAATGTATTGTAGCAGCATGTGTAAGTGGTATCGTTGTACACTCTCTTGAGCACAGCACAAAACCAATAATGTTAGCTTGAATCCTGCTTTTAAAACCTTAATATTAGTTTGCTTTTGAAGTAAAACTGACTTGCCCCTTCTTAATCCAAACTGTATCTTCTGTTTGATTTAAGACATAAATAGGGGCAGGAGACTCTGTCTTCCTATATGTTTGGTATGCTAACAGACACACGGACCCTGCTCAAAAACCAATATATGTATGGAAAGACTTAATAATGTTCTCCCACTCCCAGAAGATAACTCGAAGTTCACATTCTTTTGGGGTGAGGGGAGAATAGGCAAATATTCAAATAAGGGGATAATAGTGTCTAAGTCATCTAAATATTGGGATCACTGAATTTGTCTCAGTTCTTTTGTCCATCCCTAAGCAATTGAACACAGAGATAGTTTTAAATAGTACTCTGTTTGGGACCCAACACTGTTTCCACTGAAGTCAATCTCAACATTCTCAATGATTAACTACGAGAAGGGTTTGCATCTTAGACTAAGTGCATCCTTATAATGTTCTGCTGTATCATGGACACTGTTTCAGCATAAATGAAATTGTTAAAAATATCATGTGCTCTTTTCCAGGCCCCATACTTTTGGCCTTCAAACTGCTGGGAACCAGAAAACACAGATTATGGTGAGAATTTGAATATTCTAGTTTCTGAAAGTCAGTATAGAAAATGTCTGAGATAACCTTACTGCCTGTTAGGAAGTTATGTGTCATTCAGTTCAAGGCTATCGAAATAATCGGGCCTCTAGCAGAATGCTTTCTGCTCTGCAGCTCAGTTTGAAATGTTGGTCAATAACAGTAACCTTATTTGGCTGCTAATCTGGGCTATCAATAACCAGTTATCTCTTCAATAGTAATGTAGAATAGCAAAAGAAAATTAAGCTTCTCTGATATATGACATTAAGACATTAAAGGGAAAATGTGTTTAAACTACTAGCTGATAGCTGGTGACAGCAGAAAAATAATAATGGTTTATGAGCTAATAAACCACAGTTTGCTGTATTAAACATTTGAGTGGCTGAGGACAGCAATAATGCATAAAGAAAATGTGTTACTGTTGTTATTTTGCTGTCTCTGCACAATAACGTGGCTTCTTTTAGAACTATTCCTCTCAGACCCAAATGATAAAATCAATTGTTCCATCCTGCTGTGGCACTGGCAGAGGAAGTGGATGCATATGTGCACTCATAAAAGAATATCTTCTTTGGAAGTGTTTCTGTCAAAGGAATGCCCAGTAGCTAAGAGCAATTTAGAACTAAAAAGACCACTGCCCCCAATCATTTTTTTTTCCTTCACCAGGCAATAATTACTCATCATTATGGATTTTGTAATTATATTTGGTGGGGAGAAGGGGAAATCCATAAATCTTAACTTTTTATAGATAGTTTGTTATCCCCACATAATGTGGTAGCTAAAGAAGTGTACAAATGGCATGATGTAGGGGAACATGGGGGGAAAAACCATGGTACTGTTAGTCTTTTGCAAAAACATTTCTAAATGCTTTAATTGTGACCAACATATATAGCTTCACGGTTAAACTGCAAATTCTTGCCATGTTATTATCATATTTTATTTTTATTGAGTTTTTATGAGGACAAAGGCCCATTTTCTAACTTGAATCCTATATACTGGGGGGAGGATTGTATTAGCCCTGCCAGGGATAGGAAGAGGGCACAAAACTGGCAGTTTTATAAACTTAATATCCTGGTTTCTCATAAAGCTTAGAAATTGGTCTATGCTACACAACTTTGAATTTCATCTGAACTTGAGCCAGCTCCAGAGTACGGTGGGGTTCCATGTTCTAGTTTCATCCCATAACAGAGAAAAAGAGAGAGACCAGCTGCTACTTCTTAATTCGGAGGTTCCCAGAATGCAAGATTGTGTGGAATAAATAGGCATGTTTACACTGAGAAGCATACCTCTGAGAAGCATTCCCTGCACCCATGAAACCTGGAAATGAGGCTATGAAACTGATCCTACTGATTCTTTCCAGATCTGGCATGCTTTGAAAGCAGTGGCACCATAGGTTCACTACCTTATTTCTAGGTTTGGCACTTGGGGAACAGGAGCAGGTGCGTGGGGCATGCTTCTTAGTGGCATACTCCACAGTGCCATAGAAGTAGTATAGGCATTAGGGCTGTGTAAAATGGGCCCTATTCAATTCAGATTCGGCCCTAATCAGGGACAGTGATCTGATCTGTTGATTCAGATCACTGTCCCCGATTCGATTTGGCTGAATCCAATCTGAAGATTCGATGCTGATTCAGCGAATCAGTGATTCAGACACAGGCACAGCTTTAAAAGGTTTTTTCTACATACCTCAAGGTATCAGCACAGCTCATGATCGCTGCAGTACTGGGGCACATGGAGCATCTCACAGGAGTGGGGGGGCCCTCCCACGTGCTTGGCAGCAAACCTGGAAGTGGACCAGAAGTACTTCCGATCCACTTCCAGGTCTGCTGGGGAGCGCACTGGGGGGCTCCCTATGTTCCCCTGGTTCAGCGATTGGCTGCAGGGGAACCCCAGGTACCTCCCCAGACCCAATAGGCATCAGTCACTGAGCCAGGGGGAGGTGGGGGGGGGGGGGGTCAGCACACTCCCCGGCAGACCCGAAAGTGGACTGGAAGTACTTCTGGTCCACTTCCAGGTCTGCTGCCAAGCATGCTGGGTAGCTCCCAGTGCTTCTGTGGGATGCTGCATCTGTCCCAGCACCACAGCATTCAGAGCCCCTGCTACCTAAAGGTATATAGAAAAAACATTTAAAGCTGTATCTACGTCCAAATTGCCAAATCTTTCCGAATCTCTCCAAATCAATTCAGAGGGTTCCAAATCAATTTGGAGAGATTAAAGGGTCCTCTGATTCGATTCAGATTTGGAGATTTGGCCACCAAATTGGGCCAAATCCCTGCCAAATTGAATCAGGGACTAAAGCTTTTCACAGCCCTAATAGACATGCCTAATGTCCTGTACTGGGCCCTTATCAACCACCAGCATCTAACATCAATGCCCTGGTAAAAGCACCTTTTCTCAGCCTACTGGTAACTCTTTTCCAAGTCCTAGAACCAACAGTGCTTTTTGGAATTGCCTTCTTGGACACCACTTCCTACTCTCAGGGCTTTGTTATTTAAGCTGTTTAGCAAGCCCATAACAGGAAAGTAAAATACTGTGTAACTAAAATAGTTTTCCATATTTTTAACTGACATATCTCTAAAACTTTAGGAGCTATATCATTTCAGGAGGCTGTATTCTACTAGGCACAGGGAATGTCAGCTAGATACCTTGGTCTCTCATTCTTTGGTTGATGTCACATTCTGATGTAAAGGAGCAATATATGCTCTTCAGGTTTCTTTCTGTCTTATACTAATTCCCCTTTCCTTCTTTGTTTTCATTATGGTTCTCCTTTTAGCCATCTATTTGTGCAAGCGGACCATGCAAAACAAAGCCAGGCTGGAGCTGGCAGATTATGAAGCCGTAAGTATACTGATGTTACAGTTCATGGGGTGGGGAGGAATAATGGCTCATAAACTCAATCTTTCTACTTTACATGCCACAGGGTGTGCCACTCTATCCTTGTTTCTTTAAGAGCAGTGTGGATAGCTGATCTTTGAGAGAACATCACATTTCTAAATGAAGATGTCCATGACACACATTTTGTAGTTTCTTTAAGACAAGTATCCAAACATGCCCTTCAAGGATCTTGAGTGAGTTGCATAAGAACTCGCATTACATCTTTTTTTTTTCCAGTTACTGTTCCACCAGGAGGTGATAATCAATATGCTGAAGTGATGGATGTTCAGATGCATTGTGATGTTAGATTATTGGACAGTTACATTGCTGCTGATTCATGCCACATATTTGTAGGCTCTAAAAGGATGTACCTCATACTAATTAGATATAGAAGGGATATTGATTGCTTGGATCACGCAGGGCCATATTTAATCCACTTTATCCTTCTACCCAAGGCCTGTTGGTGGTGATAGGAATTGTATCTATGCATTATGAGGGCAATGTTATCAGTGACTGACCGGAGTTCTGCTATTGCTGAGTCCCCATGAGTGCTGCCTATCCAAGTCAGGCAATAGAATTATGTAGGTGCACCTTCAAAGAATATGTAGGTAAATTCTGCAAATGTAGAGCTGATAAAAAAATTGAAGCAATCCCTCTATTTTAAGCATAGTTACTCCAGATTTACTCTGGTATAATTGAGAGCAGATATGTTCTATTCTTGAATACTATGCATAACTCCCAATAGCATGAAAGACAGACACCAGCTATAGACTAGAAAAATCTATGTGCATGCTTAGGTTTCTGTTCTTCATATTGTCAATTTCTTTATTAAATTAATTTATTTAATTATTATCTAGAAATAATTACTTTGAGTCAGCCAATTACCAGAAAATGCTATAGAAATCCCTTGTAAACAACAGACAACCTTTGGCAACACCAGTAGTGCATGTGCATTGAAGTTATGGGTAAGTCCTTTTCTACACCAGGGTCTGTGAAAAGCAGTGGTGCTCCAATGATGGCAAGCAATTAGATCTTACCATTCTCGTTTCCTCCTTGCTGATTGCTTCACATGATTAGGGAACATTTGTGAACTCCAAATCTGCCTTCTTAATGTGAAACAGGCATATGATAAGGGCACCAACTCTTCCTAGCCATTATACCGACTAAGCAGTGTCATGGGTGTAAACTACCACTACTCAGAGGAGATGTGGACCCACTGAATTGTTGAAGAGTTCCCAGTGTTGCTGCTTTTCTAATTTTTTTGGAAGAGGGATTCTCTGTACAGGATTCTTCCATGTACGTATTAACCCAGCTCTGAAATCTGCCAAAAACGATCTCTGTAGAGCAACACAAATGTCATCTTCTGGGTTCCATTGCATGATCCCCAGGACTCTAAATTCATACTGGTAAAGCAATAGTCTGGGCGTGTAAAAATCAGGTATCCTTATTTTTGGCCAAATCTAAGCCTGATTCTCCTGTCACATACGCTGGCTTTACACTGGTGTCATTCTATTGGCTCCAATAGAGTTACTCCTGATTTGCACCAACATACAGTGGGTGTGGCTGTTTTTTTTTTCTTTTGCCTTTTCACAAACACAGCTGGTTTGAGTAGTTATTCCCTTTGATTAAAATGCAGAAAAACATCCCAATTCAGGAAAGTTGTGAAGCAAATGCTTGAGTGCTTTCCTGCATACGTATGTACTTCATCTTATGGATGGATGTATCTCAGGGATAACTGGGAGATTCTATGGCCTATGTTATATGGCAGATCAGACTACTTAATCAAAAAGTCCTATTTGGCCCCAAAATCTATGAATAAATGTGGTTAGGTGTTCTCTTGAATTGGGACAATAGCTATAGCTTAACATCTTGCCTTTTAGTTCAAAGGTAGCCATCATTTAACTGTACTCAAGCTAATACCTTTCTATGGTTACATATGAATTTGGATGTGTGCCTTCAGAATACCAACAAGTGTTATAAAGTTAATTCTGGACATGATGAGTTTGAACCTAGCATTTTAATTGTGCCCTTACCCCCACCCCACCTTGAATTTTTATTAAAGTTCAAACCCTTCATTAAAATTTGTGACTTGGATATATCTCTGGAATGGTTGTGAACCATTACAACCTAATAATACCAGACTTGGCAGTTCAGATATGGACCCAAAGGTTGCATTTGGGCCTATCTGTCATTACTCCCATTGGCTAGAGTGCTAATCAGTTTCTTGATGATGAGTTACCCTGATGGTTTCCAGACTTCCGTTTTTTGCAGCAATCGAGTGACTTCAAGAAGTAGGTATCCACTGACTAAAGGAGGGGTGCTTAGCCTTTATAACACATGCAAGCAAAACCCAAGATAGTTCCAGAAGATTAAAAGCAAAGTGCAGCAAACAAGCAGCAATAGCAGCCAACACACTAGAGCGTTGTCGGTTTCAGGAGGATTCTCAGTATTATTTTGTGGGAAGTAAATTGATGGACGCGTGGGAACAAGTCCAACACCACTTTATTGGCAGTGCTCTGGCACTGTTTCACACTCCTACAACTTCTGCTAAAGTCCTTCCATTTACAACAGAGTGCTAGCTTGAACAGAACATGCCATTAGATTGACATTCTTAACAGTTGAACCTCCTGAGACAATTGACTAGGAGCCAATATTAATTTCAATGTCATGAGCATTCCAGGTTTAAAAAAACATTGACCTGCTAAATTTGTTATTAAACTACTGTAATAATTATCTCGATTTATTGTTCTTGTTATTTCTCATCTTTTATAAGGAGAACTTAGCAAGACTGCAGAGGGCTTTTGCACGAAAGTGGGAATTCATCTTTATGCAAGCAGAGGCCCAAGTGAAGTAAGTATTTTGAGTGCAGTGAAAAGGGGATTGGATTAAGAAAATATTTCCCAGTCAACATCTGTGTTGAATTGTAGTCACTGTCAGACTGCAAACAACATCAGATTAATGCTAAAGTCACCTGTCAAAAGAGAGAACGATAGGTTTAATCATCAGTGCACATATCTGTGAGTTGGGAACTCCAGGCTTTATTTCTCACTCAGACACTGATGCACCATATGACTTTAGGCAAGTCACTCAAGATTTCTGCCTCAATTTCTGCATAAATGGAAAAGAAGCATGATTGAAAGCGTGTAAAACACTTGATAAGATAAATGGTGTCACTTCTGAAGAAGCCAGAGAGTTGGCTCTAACAGTCCATAAGATACGTATATCTCACTTTTTCACCCCACTGGATATGTGACACCCCTCAGAAAACATAGTTATAACCATACTATTTGCTATTCTGCTTGCACTACCAAAGCAATATGGAGAATTCTACAATTTTTCCGTGAGACTTAGATTTCATAAAAAATATGATTTTATACTCCTTCCCCCATCTTTTCTCTCTGAATGCCCATACACGAGCAGGGAGGCTGCTCTGATGTGGTATAATTCCAGTGTGTCACAGCACTTGATTAATTGAGTCTGCTAGAGCATGGCAATTACTGTGCTCCAGCAGCCTCCCGCATCTTGTGTATCAGCATCCCCGTGCTTCAAAATGGCAGCAGGGACACTTTATTTAAAGCTCATTCAGCCAGCTTTAGATATAGTGCCCCTGCCACCATTTTGAAGCATGGAGACACTGATACATGAGATGCTCCGGGCACTTTAATTGGAGTGGCTATCTGTAATCACAGCACACAGTTTTGCAGTAGTATCTTTAGTACATGTGCACTTCTCGGTTTGTGGACTATAGTAGGGGTCAGCAACCTTTGGGTGCCATAGGCTGCCACTTCCAACCCATCCTTCTGCTACAAACCTCAAATCTCCATCCCTCAGAGCATTCAAACCACCTGTGGTCACCTTTGCTACTGATCCTCATCCCCAGCACCAACAGAGAGGAATAGTTCTGCAGTGATGATTAGTTTTGGTGTGAGACAGCAGCAGGGAGATCTTCAGAGGGAGGTCTGCAAAGGGAAGCACCATGGAAGGAATGGGTGGCACAGAGCATCTATGTGCCTCCAATTCCCTTTGCTGCCTCAAGCCAAACTGGTCCTTCACAGGCTGGATCCAATCTTCAGGCCATGGACTGATGACCCCCCCTGTTATAAAGCATGTAAAGGCCTGCAAGTCCATGTTGCAAAAGAAGATTTTACACGTAATGCTTATAAAGCAGGGGAAGATCACACTTTCATGCTATGTAATAAGGATGTTTGTACCCTGGACAAACACTAAAACAAATAGTGTTTACACATTCAGGGTCAAACAGCATCACATGTTACAAAGTGAAGGGATGTTACTAATTATATGTGTGTATGTATACATATGTATATGTATGTGTGTGTATGCATATCTATAGTATTTCTTTGATTAGCTCTGTAATTACATTGTAATTATGGAGCACTTAAAAGCATAGTAATTATCCTTAAAATAACATGCTAATGAAGAGATTATTTCAGTCCAGAATACAAGTGTTCTGCAGAGATGAGAAAATTGGAAGTTAAAATTGTAATTAGTCTTTGAGTTACTTAACAGTTTGCTGCCAAGATAAAAATTGTAATTAAAAAATGTATGTCTGCCACTAAAAGTGTAGCTTATTACCACCAGAAGGAATTTAAGGCTCGTTTTCTTTTTACTATTGTTTATATTTGGTTACCTTTTTTCTGTTTCATTCACTCTGAGCAGTAAATCTTGACCGGTCACTGTCACTTTCTATTTCTTGTCAAGTTCACTTTGTTAGCTCAGTGCTTTTGTTCTCAAGATAGTGAAATTTTGGCTCATTTCCTTTTTCTTTTATTTCCAGAATTGATAGAAAAAAGGATAAAACTGAAAGGAAAATTTTGGATAGCCAAGAAAGAGCCTTTTGGGATGTTCACAGGCCAGTGGTAAGGCTGTTTTTAACTTGTGATAGCTAAAGGACCTTAATGGGCTTTTTCTAAACTAACAAGCATTAGCTGTATGAAGAGGTTAGCTTTAAAGCCACTCCATATTTTCTTCAAACTTCAAATCAAGCCAAAACTGAATAAGTATATTTCAAATGTTTTAGATTTCTGCATGCACAAAATTGCTAATTTGAACATATAAATATATGTAAATGCATGCATATCAAAGTAGCTAGGCAAGTTTTGCTTCTTAGAAAAACATACCTTTTAAGAAAAAAGCCAAGTGAGTTTAACCTAAATGGAATTTGTGTGACACAGTTACGTGTAAATTGATTTAGTGTTGAGATCCCACCTTAGCAGCCTGAGCATTCTTGCTTAATTAATATGATTGCTATTATATAGTTTGAAGTCAATAAAGGGAGCATTTTGAAAAGATGCAATTCTTATGCCAATATTTATGTATAGTCAAAGTATGAAAACATATTTTCAGCTGGTATTATTCCTATTATTGTTTTCTAGAGGAAGGAGGTAGCATGTTCATTCTAAACGTAAGTGATGATATTATCAATATCTTCTTTTAGCCAGGTTGTGTGAACACCACAGAAATGGACATCAGAAAGTGTCGCCGTATGAAAAACCCCCAGAAGGTTAAAAAGGTCCAGTTTTTTTAATAACATTTATGTCTTACACCTAATATTGTCACTCTTAAATAAGAATCATAAAATACTCTGAAAACATTAATTAACATTTATCCATAAAGGTAAGTTTAGTGTTATTTTGCAGGTGGACATATACCAGACCAAGTCATTGATAGATAGCATAGGCAAAATGGGCAGGGCTTATGCCTTGGGCAAGCCCTTATGGGGAATTCAGTGGCCACCTAATTTCAAGCAATCATCTTTGTTTTGGACTGCAAAGTTTCCTAGGGGAAACAGCTTTAAAAGTTTTTTCTACATACCTTCAAGTAGCAGATGTGCCTCGTGATTGCTGCAATGCTGGCGCACATGGAGTGTCCCACAGAAGTGCAGGGGGGCCCTCCACATGCTCACAGGTGATCCAACAAGTGGACTGGACCAGTCCACTTCCAGGTCTGCCAGGGAGCACACTGCCCCCCCCCGCCCCGGCAATCGGCCGCAAGGGGGCCCTGGGTGCCCCCCCAGACCCAGGAGGCACCAGTCGCCAAGCCAGGGAGGGCCCCCCAGTGCACTATCCAACAGACCCAGAAGTGGACCAGAAGTGCTTCTGGTCCACTTCCGGGTCTGCTGCCAAGTGCACTGGGGAGCCCCCTGTGCTTCTGTGGGACACTCCATGCGCCCCAGCATCGCAGCACTCACAAGCCCCTGCTACTTAGAAGTATGTAGAAAAAACATTTAAGCTGTGTCTATGTCAGAATCTCTGAATCTTTCCGAATCTCTCCAAATCAATTCGGAGGATTCTGATTTAATTCGGAGAGATTAAAGAGTCCTATGATTCAATTCAGATTCAGAAATTCATCCACTGAATCAGGCCGAATCTCCGCCAAGTTGAATCAGGGACCAAAGCTTCGCTCAGCCCTACTGCCCAGTACCCCAACTTTAGCAGGAGGTGTAGAAGGTGTCCCTACCCAGACGTTTCTACAGCTCGGTAGTTTGACCATAGCATAACTGGTCCTAAATACCACTTTTGCAAGTGATACAATTTTCAAAAGTATTTAGTTGCCTACAAGAATCTGACATTTTGCAAGTGGACTTTCAGTGAGATTTAACTCGCTTGTGCATAAGTCTGTTTTGGAAATGAGACTTGAGGCTCCGAAGCCCTGCTAGCTATTTAAATTCATCCTGATCATTCAAATGTCTACTGCAAATATCAAATGAAGAAAAATAAACAAATACATAAATAATAGATATCTGTACTGAGGACAGTGCCAGTTTAGTTTTCTGACAAGTAAATGCCCTACTAGCTAGGCTGGTAAATTTTCTTTTAGAACGTTTCCTGAAAATGTGACTGCTTTGACACCAATTAGCCCCCTTTTCAGTTTCAGTCAATAAAAACCTTGGGATTAAATGTTGCTTTCAAGCTTGGGAGGCAATGGACTTGGACTTCTGCTCCCACCCTTACTTTCTCTTTTCCCCACCCCAATTGCTGATCTTGCAAGTAGATAAACGTGGTAGTCCCATGAAGCCAATACCTCCTAAAAAGGAACATCAACTATGTATTCCAGTTCCAATATAAACACCCTTCTATTCTTTATGGAATAAGCTTGAAGCACACAGCACAAAACAGTTATTTTATATCTAGGTAGTGTGTTTTAGACATAAGAGATTTGATTGACTGAAAATGAAATAATGGCTTGTTCTCAGATTAGCTCATCAGAGATAAATCACAGTTTTTAGCTAACACAGCTGCAGGCAATCCAATATAAGTATTTGCAAAGGCAGTCTGATTTTGAATTTTGCTGCAAGCTAAAGTATTATTGACCTCTGAGGAGCCAAAAAGTAGGAAATTGCTGACCAATTATTTTATTGCTTTGTGAATTACACTCTTCCTTTTGTGTGTACAGGCAATCCCCACTTAACACTGTTTTGCTTAGGGCTGTTTTGCTATAACGCTCATTTTAAATTGATACCTGATTTCATTTACGTCTCAGCAAGTTTTGTTATAACGCTCGTAGTCGTTGTCTTGGGTCATCAAAAACTTTCGGTTTCGTTTAACGCTCATTTCACTTAATGCTCAGGTTTTCAGGAACCAATTAAGAGCGCTAAGCAGGGGTTGCATGTAACAAGAACATGCACTGATCTCTTGTGTTGTTTGTTCATTTCAGTCAGTATATGGCATCGCAGAAGATTCTCAGCCGCAGAGTCCTGTACATGTGCCCTCCCAACCCATACGAAAAAGGACAAAAGAGGATTTCCGAAAACAAGTAAGCAACCAACCTTAGCACAACAACTCTGAAACTGAGTATTTCTATAGAAGAAGCAGCTACCATTATTTTCAAAAAGATTTTTATATTGTTATTGACATACCAATAAAGCCAGCATCATATCTGATGCTTCCAAGTGCAAAATGATAAAAAGACATGCCAAAGTCAGCTTGATTTGAGTAAAGTAGCATGTATCTAAAGGTAAATATTAGTTAGGACATACAGCTATGTCATGGTAGATACTGTGGGCTGTAGTTTATTTTCAAATCTACGGGATGGCTCTTGAATCTATTACTTGCAAGACAGACACTGTTAAATATAAGCCATTTTATTTGCTGGTTTATTTAAATAATTCAGAATACATGAAAGGTTGTAGCCAACCAATCTGGGGACAAATACAATGCAATATAACTTAAGGGCTAGATCCTATTTCACATTATATACCCAAATGGCATTTGCCCAAGTGCATAACTGCTATTTTGGGCACTCACGTGCAGTTTGTGATTCTGTTCCATTGGGTACAATATGGACATACAAGTCATTAGATGAAATGGATGGAGAGCCGTGAAGAAGTTTCCATCCCATTGGGAGCAAGGGTCCAGGCTAGAATCGAGGGATTCCTTCCATCCAGAGCCGCATTCCCTCTAGCTTGTTCTGTTCCTCCTGGCCTCCTATATCTCCCCATCTTGGCTGCCCAAGGGAGCAGCTTCAAAGGGAAGCCTGAAGAGCTACATGCATAGGTGTTCAGGGCAATTTTATAATGTCAGAGTGCAAATTAAAACCACAAACTGTGGGTAAGTGCCAAAAGCAGCAGTTATACGGCTGGATAAGTACCCTTTGTGTGTGTAAGATGGCCCCACATGCCATAAATAGCAAGTAATTGATGTGAACAATGTGTGGTCTGAAGATGACTTGACCAAAATATTTATTAAATATTCTTAAAGAATGAATTCATTCAGTGAAACTCGGGATGGGCTTGCAAGCAACTCCCTAGCTCAAACAGCAGTCTAATTTCTTCTCTCGCCATAACTTCCCCTCTCTGTCAGGTCACCAGGGCTACTTCACAAGTAGGCAGTACTGACAAGGGAGCGGGATCTAGCCAGTGCAGCTGAGAGATCTTCTCATACTGTGTATCCTGAGTACAGCTTCCACAGACAGAATTTCCAGAGCACTTCCACTAGAAATGAAAACTACGGTCCCTGGCAGAATGTGTGGTAGAAGGCAGGCACAGAACCACCCACAGGTAGTAAAAGCCAAATATGAAAAGCAAAGCAGTTGTGGTCAGAAGCTCTCCAGAGCACAGCCAGACAACCTTCACATCTCTTCCAGCATGAGTGAATCTGCTCCAGTCATGATCTCTGAGAGACCTTAGGGTTTCCTCCCTGTAACAAGCTCCAGTCATTAGAGATTAGGAAGGAACTGTGAAGTTAGCTAGAGACAGGTCCTGCAGCATCAACACACTTTTCAGTAAGCAAGGCCAACATTTGTGACAATCATCTGAACCAAGTCTGAACACCCAAAATTAATGAAGTTGATACATCATTAGCACTGTCCATTCTGGTATATAGGTAAGAAATATCTGTTTGATAGGACATTACAGGAGTAGAAAACTAGTACTCATGTTGTAAGGGTGCTAAGAGTTAGAGGCAGAAAAAGGAGAACGGGAGAGAACTTCAAATCCTGTTCTGATGAACTAGGTTTTATATCATATTTTGATAAGCTAGAAGCCTTGTCCCAAAATACATGCATATATGTATAATTTATATACTGCATTGTTCTGATTATAAGTGTACCATGTTTTCCTCCAAAGAACTTTAAAAATTGCATTGACTTTTATGTGGAGGTAACCTATAATCAGATCCCCTACAGTTTGACTTTTGCACTCGTGATATTTTTGTGCATGCAATAAAAATGCCAAGTCAGTTTTTCAGCACAGTTTTTATATTAATATTTTTAGTGTATTTAACCCTTTGGGTCCTTTCTTTTGTTATTTGATTCTCCTGTGGGATTTTGTAAGGGCAATAACAGTTCAAGGTCTTTATCCATAGTAACCAACTGGCCATCAACTTAGATGCAGGGTCAGCTGCCAGAAGGAACAATCAAGTGCATATGCATGTGTGTGTCTACAAACAGATAGCATTTTTACACTTTAAATTGTTTTGTTTGAAGTTTCCTTTAATGCTTTGCCACAAGAAATGAAGGTTCCTGGTGGAAGTTGTTAATAAGCTGCTTCTGATACCCACAGAAGGGTTCGGTTTCCTCCTTTGTTACCACTATGCCATTTGAAATGACAAGCCAATACTGTTTTGGGATACAATCAATGCATACACTAGACTTACTGGGTTATTAATGCCCTTGTCATCTCTCTTCCCAGATAACCTTTCTGAATGTGCAGATAGACAGACACTGTTTAAAAATGTCCAAGGTAGCTGAAAGGTAAGTTTCCCGATGTGCCTTATTATTATACAATCCTGTTGTGTCATCTCAGATGATCAAATTTGACATTTCCACAAAGTTAATGTGCAAAGCTGCATACAAAGAAGTTTGCAGAACTGTAGGTTGAATCAAATATATCCCGTGACTAATCCTCACTAAATACAAACAACCTACAATTCTGTACTTTCCTTCCTGGGGTTGAGGAGGGACCTGGAGCATGGAAACCCAATTTTTTTAATTAAAAAAAAAGCAGGGAAAAAGTTGAGGAAGCTAGAGTACTATAAAACCAAGGAAGCTAAAGTACTGTATACCTGTGAGAAGAGAAATTTGCAAAAACTTTGTAGGGATTGTTTTCCCCCTCACACACCTGGAATTTATTTCAGTAGAATTATCATTGTTTCAGTTACAAAATGTTCCTTTTGTGCACTGTATTTGTAAGAGATATAAATAGTTTTTACTGTTCTTTAGTTCATACTCCCTTGCAGAACCAGCACAACTCTGGGAGAATTAAAGCTAAATTCTCTTCTGAATCTTGCATCATCTACAACAATGATGCCCAACCTTTTTGCCCAGCAGGTTTGATAGGCAATGTCCAGTCTATCTGCAGGCCAGATTCAGCTGCTGGCCATGGCTGGGCCCTATCTGACCATGCAGAGCAGGGCAGGGAACAGCCTGAAGCAGCCGTTCAGTGGGAAGGGGGTCTTACCCTGCCCCAAACCACCTGCACGGGGAAAGGGGGCATGGCCCAGCCCCAAACCAGCCTTGTGGAGGCTTGGGAATTTGTCAGTGGGAGACAGTGATGGTATTGCTACAGTTCCTCTGCCACCAAATTTCCCAACTTGTGGGAAGTCCCATGGACCAGATGCCATGGCTCCATGGGCTGCATGTGGCCCACAAGCTGGAGTTTGAGGACCCCTGATCTACAGGATTGCCAGCTCTGTTGCAGAGAACTATTCTGCCCACAGTTATGTACATCCACCCTCCTTAAAGTTGCAAAGGCCAATCTTTTAAGATGCTGATGTCTCAGGTGCAAAGAAAGGTAACATTTGGCCTGCAGAATCTTTATTGCTTGTAGCTAGCCATGAACCAGAAAAGAGCTGATGTGAATTCATCATCCTCTAATAAGTCTGGGGAGAGCACCAGTTATTTTTTAACTTGGTTGCTTGTAAACTGGATAGATTTGCTTTGGTATTTTTAAGGTCTAAATAGGGATTCATGAAATGCCATAGTGAGTTGCTTTTCATAACAGAACTGTATGGTAACCTTAGGCAGTTGAACAATAATGATCTTGGATCTCTCACTTGTACAGTATTTAATAACCTTGCAGTGGTGAGACATGAACAGTGTCCTTGAGCCTGCTTTACCTGTGGTAGTTGGAGTGTTCTTGGGATCTGGGCTTTGTGCCTTGTAGTTGTGCAGCAGGATTGTTTTTGTAATTTTAGAACTAGGTTAGACCAGGGATCAGCAATTTACAGCCTGAAGGTTGAATCTAGCCCACAGAGCCTTTGAATCCAGTCTGTGGAGCCATAGCTTTGGTGGCATTAAGTGTTGGGGGCTGCGCTCATGCTGTACTGTGTTGCAACTGGGCACTGGGGACTTCAGCAGAGTGGGACCTCTCCCTGGGCCATGCCGCAGCCAGGGGGCAGGGATAAGTGGCAGAGGCAGCCAGGTCTTAGTGCCCACCCATCTCGTATCTGATCTGGGTCATTCCAGCCGCTTACTGAAAAATGTTTCCAACCCCTAGGTTACACACGCATTTGTATGGGATAGTTTGGACAGGGATGAGAAGCAGGTTGGACTAGATGACCTCCAGCCCTTCTTTTCTATCATTCTATGATTGTAAAGCAACACTGTAGGGGCAGTTCCTTGAGAAAAATACTTGAGAAACTTAAGGGATTTGCCATTTTTAACCAAATTAAACAGTCATGACTTCAAAGTGCTGCGTTCACTATAGTAGCTCCTGTGTTCAACATCTTTAACCTAAATTAGGCAAATTAGGAAAACAAACGCTCAAAAGTAAGTCCCCTGTTGGCTCATCAAATCTAACAATTTAAATGAAAATGTAACTAATTAAATAGTAAACATTCAAAGGTTTCATAAACCACTGTTTACCCTAAATGGTATTTTACTGTATCAAAAACGATTGCATCCATATTTATGCTCTGGGCTTTCTGAATCTGTTTCTCCTATTATCACTTAGGAGCAGAATGGTGAAGTTTATCAGAAAGACTCATTTGCAGATTTTAGCTATAAAGACCTCAGTACCTCAAGGCATTAATACTCTCCAAGGTAATTTATAAACAGACCAATATGTCTTGCTTGTAGTTTTCCTAAAATAGTATTATTTCAGAAAGATAAACTCTGTAGAATTTACTAATTTGTAGAGATTAGCGCATGCCTGTTCCTCAGGTAGAGAGCTACGCTAGCATTGTAAATGGCAGTGTTATTCATTATTACCAATATTTAAAAAAATGACTGGCGATCTTGAAGAAGAGCTGAGCAGAAAAGCTTCCTAGCCTGTAGGAATTTTTCCCTTCCCAACCTGGGACAAAAAGTTGACAAAAAATTACACAAATCAATAAACCAGTCAATTAAAATATTTATTCCAAACTTTCTGAAATGTTTAATTTAGTTTTAGACACGTTTTCTTTTTATTTTTACCTTGTTCAGTATAAATTAATTAGACTTTGGGACCAAACATGAACTTTCAAAGAGGAAAAGAAACCTTTTTATTCTGAAGATGTCAAAACAGGCTGCTTTAACAATTGTGAAACTGAAAAAAATAAATAAATAAATCAGGTTATTTGTTGAAATGTATCTTTGCCCATGAAGATAAATCAGCACTTTCCAACTAAAAATGCTTCTATGGAAAATTCCAGCTCTCCTTTTGGTCACCCCCATTTTTGAGTACCCAGCTTGAGATACCTTCAAAGGGCATGATTTTCAGAGGATGCCTAATCCTGTCTGAAAATCAAGGTCCATTAAGAGGTCCAAGGTAAGCTAGGCAAGGGTTTTTCTGTGATATCATTTATTGTACATACCACATTGTTGGGAGCAATGTTGGACAAGCTCTCTGGCACAAAACATGAGGGATATCAACATTCGCTGTTTAAAATGGAAAATCCACAAAATGAAGAAAAAAAGCCAGAAGAGTGCATTTTGTGCCTAAAAGTTTATCCAACAACTCTCCCAACTATATAATTTTTTCAGTAAAAGGTATAACAAAAAACCCTTCTGCCTCACACATTTCCCCATACATCTCCAAACCAAAGGTAAGATACCCAGAGTCTCTAATTACTTCTGAAAATGTGACATACAGTAGTATAAGTAAGGTGACCACATGTCCTGTTTTAGCTGGGACGGTCCTGGATTTCAGAGGCTGGTCCTGGACAGCTGTTGAGAATTATAATGGGCATCCTGGAAATGCAGGGGTATGAAGTGCAGTCTGGCTGGGAATTGGAGTGGTGTGGAGCCTTGCAGGTGGACAGGCAGGCACCACTGTCTGCTCGGCATGCAGCCCCACCCTACCGACTTGTGATAGCATGGGGGGGGGGAAGAGGAGGAGTGGTGTCCTGGATTTCCTGGATTATGTCTTGGATTTCCAGGATTTCCATATGGTCAGCCTAAGCATACAGTTCCCTGATTTGTTTTTGGAAAATTAAAAGAATGTCTTATTTCAGAAGTTTGCAAGCCTTTGAGCTCTATGCTCCTCCTAATGTAAAAAAGGGACAGAGCCTATTCCATCTAAGTAAAATACTATTCTATCCTGCTAGATTCACAAAGAAACAAATAACTTGTCTACTTTTGTAACACACCCTTCATCCTACCCTTAAAAGCAGAGAAGAGCAGGAGGACGTAGTCCCCTTTTGTCTTAGATGTCTATGCATGATCCTATTCCACTTGACTCCAGTTCTTGAAAAACCACTAAGTGCAGCATCTAAGTGTAATAGGATCTGGCCCTATGCTTTATATTATTTACCATTAATAAAACCATAACATAATGAAAACGCAGACCCTGTAAGGAAGGAATAGAACAAGAATTACTGTGATAAAATCATGTGGTGACTTTGATTATTATTGGGTTACATTTTTTTTATCGGGTCACGTGTTTTCTGGTTTGGGGTTTAAAGGTATGGGCAACTGTGCCAGAAAGAGTCCTAGACATGGGCTGCTACACTGAATAAGACCCAAAGACAAAAGGAAGAAATAAAGAAAAGAGAAAAAGAAAAACAGGAGTGTGGCTGGACAAAAGAACAG